CTATATGGGCGTCTGGACTGGAACTGGCCCCTGGCTCCCGGGCTTTGGCGATCCTGGGTTCGATCCTGTCTCGGGTAGAAGGATCGTGAGCCTCTGGGCCAGTCCCAGGATTGCCCTGATCTAAAGGGCTGTCTCCATTCCCAGGGGCTTCCTGGGCGGGAGCCCTGTCTCCGGAAGTCCTGACTGCCTCTCCTGTCTAACTTCTTTGATGGATGTACTAGGATTTTTTTCTTGTCTCTGCCTTCGCTGACATGTGGGTCCAGAATGGAACCAAATAGGGCTACTCCACTGTATTTGGACGTCGAAAGACGCCATTTGGACCTCAGGTCTGTCTTCCAATTTTTGAGCCACAGTAGCCTACGCGAGGCCACTGTGGCCGCAATGGATCTTGCCGCATACTTTGTTGCGTACAGTGAAGCGTCAGACACGAATTGTGAGGCCGCGAGGAGCTTAGCCAATGTTTGGTGTACTCTGACCTGGTCTGGAGGCACCGTGCCTTGCAGTTCCCTCAGCCACATGATACTGGCCCTCGCGAAGAATGATGATGAAGTGGCTGCTCTGGCCGCCCAGGCTGCAGCCATATGGGAACGCCGGAGGGAGTGTTCAAATTTCTTCTCCTCAGGTCTCAAGACCTCCGCCATGTCTCCTGGAATCGCGGAGGTAGAAAATAATGAAATCAAGGGGTTATCTACAGTAGGAACCTCTAACATGTTAGAGAAGGAGGGAGATAGGTTGAAAAGCTTTCTTTCCGCGCTGTTAGGTGCCGGTGGGCTTGCAAGTGAGGACCATTGTTCCTCCAGCGTGGTCATAAAGACCTCCGCACATGGAATGTACTTATCTTGTGGAACCTTTTTGGCAAATAGAGGATTGGCCTCTTTGCTTGTTGAGGGCTTCTCATCCTGTACTGATGTTAGGTTGACTGTGGAAACTGCCTTTATCAGGAGTGATTTTAGGAGCGCTGGGTTAAAGAGGCCAGAGCTCGTCGCCTGCTCAGGTGCAGTCTCCTCGTCCTCCGAGAGGGGCATGTCTGACATGTCAAGGTCTACTGAGTCACCCTCTCCCAGTTGAGAGGAAGTTTCAGAGGTGCTGGTAGGGGGTGGCCTAGCCCGTCCCTTACGGGGTGTGTGAAAGGCCACTTGCCCCTTAGAAGCCATGAACTGGGAGAATGCATCCTGCATGAATGCATGAAATTGTGCCGACCATATGTTCTCCTGCGCCTTGTCGCTGGGGTGAGGCGCTGGAGAGTGGTCGGGTGAAGAAGCTGGTGAGGAGGGATTGGAGGAATCTAACTGTTCAGTTTCCCCAGGAGGAGACCAAGTCTTGAGCACTTCCTCGGCAGTAGGTTCTGTGCTGGGTGCCACCGCTGGGACAGGGGAAACCAAATTTGTCCCATTGGCATTGGTTCTCTGTGCCCTGCTAATTTGCCTTTCTAAAGCCAAATGTCTCCTCAAAGCCTCTCGCTCAGCCGTTTTAGACTGTCCCTTCTGAGAAAGGTGCTTTGTTTTAGCTTTCTTCTTCCCCCCCACCTCTGATTCAGAAGATCTGCGTTTTTGTTGTTGCTGTGGGGGGGACAATTGAGGGACCTGCGTGACTGAATACGAGACATTGTCTGCCATTGTGCCAGACACCCCGAGTAGGTAATGCCTGGAGTGGGGGAAAAAGATACGCAGATCAGATGCAGATGCTTGGGACTGAGCCCTCCTCTGCCTATACAAACAATGGCCGGACAGACAGGAGTCTTTGGACAGAAGATCCTGCAAGGCAGTGACTACAGGCCACTATAGGAACAGTCAGGGAAAAATACTCCTCCTCCCCTCCTCACCTAGTCCAGACAAAGTGCAGTTTATATCTCTCTCTCCCCCAGTCTGTGGCTGTGGCAACAGACCACGATCAGAACGGTTCTCTTTCTTTTCCCTCTTCCTTCCTCTTGTCTCAATTTCTTGAGATAACCTCAGATCATAGCATAAGGGGTCCCCCTTTGTCTGCAGGGAAATGGAGTCCGGGTGGTGGCCCCACCCCCAAGGGAAAAACGGCGGGTAGATCCGCTCGTTCAAAATGGCGAATGGAGAAGAAGCCACGCCTCCCAATGGTAGCCCGGGAATCCACGAGGTTCAAAACAATGGCGGATCTTTGAATTTAGCAATCAGGGAGACTCCTTTAGTCTTAAGAGGGCTGCGCCTCTCCTCCGAGGAGAAAGAAAATTTAGCGCTAGTTCTGCTCTTGTTGGGCTGCTTCTCGCGCCGCTCAGCTGATCTATGCCGAGCGGCGCCGCGGTTTGCCGCTTCCCGCGCGGCTCAGCTGTTTCGCGCTGAGCGGCGCCTCGTTCTGTCGGCCAAACCACTCAGCTGTTTGGCGGACCCGGAGGGCGACGAGCAACCCGGTGTGAGGTCCCCGCGCCAAACAGCTGCTCGGCGGACCGGAAATCGGCGAGCGATCCGGCCCCGCTCCAAGCCTCCCGTTAGTCCCTGACACCCCACTCACGAGTCCGCCGATCCTGGCTGCATCTCTCAAGTCTTATCAGCTGCCAGGAAACTTTTCTTTCAACTGGAAGAAGAGGGGATTCCTTTTCTCTCTCTCTTTTTTTTTTTTGAGTTAAATTAGTTTTGTTCTGAGAGCTGCCTCTCGCACTTCTACCAGGTTTCGAGACTGAGTCAAAACTGGGGTCACGCCCAAAGGAAGGGGTGTGGCCGAAGTTTTTACCCAGTCTGCCAGGCAGGAAGGCCGTCATAGAACCCATCCATTTGGACTCTACAGCCATCCTGCTGGAGAATAAAGGGGTGGGGGAGCCAAACGGTCCAAGATGTTTTCACCCTGAATGTGTGGACGCTGCTGTCATGATTTGCCATCACCACCCCCTCTCTTCCCGCCCTGCTCGGGCAACGTGCTGCTGCTGCTTCTGCTGCTACTGCTGGCTGAGCTGAGCTGCGGCGCTGAGCCGATCCCCACACCTCCTGGTTGCCCGGCCATGCTCCGCCCCCGGCCGCCCTCCGTGCCGCACCGGAGCCTCCCCCGCGCCGCCCAGCCTGCCTCCCTCGCCGTTGGAGGGCATCTGTGTGTGTCTCCAGACCTTACTAGACTACCATCCCCAGCAGCCCTAAAAAGTACTGTGGAAGAGTGGGGAATGCTGGGAGTTGCAGTTCATCACCATCTGGAAAAACATGACTCTCCAAAGATCAATCCTTCCTTCCTTCCTTCCTTCCTTCCTTCCTTCCTTCCTTCCTTCCTTCCTTCCTTTCCCCTCAATCTCCTTCCTTCTCCATCTCCTTCCTTTCCCCTTCAATCTTCCTTCCTTCCTTCCATCTCCATCCCTTCCCCTTCAATCTCTCTCTCCTTCCTTCCTTCCTTCCTTCCTTCCTTCCTTCCTTCCTTCCTTCCTTCCTTCCTTCCTTCCTTCCTTCCTTCCTTCCTTCCTTCCTTCCATCTCCATTGCCATCCCTTCCCCTTCAATCTCTCTCCTTCCTTCCCCTTCAATCTCCTTCTTCTCCATCTCCTTCCTTTCCCCTTCAATCTTCCTTCCTTCCATCTCCATCCCTTCCCCTTCAATCTCTTTCTCCTTCCTTCCTTCCTTCCTTCCTTCCTTCCTTCCTTCCTTCCTTTCCCCTTCAATCTCCTTCCTTCTTTCTCCTTCCATTCCCCTCCAATCTTCCTTCCTTTCTTTCCCTTTCAATCTCCTTCCTTCTCCATCTCCTTCCTTTCCCCTTCAATCTTCCTTCCTTTCCTCTTCAATCTTCCTTCCTTCCTTTCCCCTTCAATCTCCTTCCTTTCCCCTTCAATCTTCCTTCCTTCCCCTTCTCTCCCTCCCAACATTTTTGAGCAAGGAAGAGTAAGCTTCTCCAGCAAGCATTGCTATATTGTTTTTGTGATTAATCACTATGCTTTAATTATGTTCACTTCGTAACAATGAAAATACACCCTGCATATCAGATATTTACATTAATATTCGTAACAGTAGCAAAATTACAGTTATGAAGTAGTAATGAAAATAATTTTATGGTTGGGATTCACCACAACATGAAGAACTGTATTAAGGGGTTGCGGCATTAGAAAGGTTGAGAACAACTGATCTAAGGCTTAGAAAGTAAAAAATTGGATTCTAATTCTTTTTAAAGCCATTTGGTAAAACTACTGAGGGATTGTCATACAAATATCTTAGACTAATATCTAGTCTAATTGCTCATCCTCCATTCCCACTTACCAAAGCTTTTTAAGGGACATGTCCTCATGACATTAACTCACCCCGGCTTGCTGTGAAGGCAGTCTAGATTTGCCCTTAATTATTTTGTTGAAATAGTGCTTTCCCTCTTACTACAATAGAAAATTTGCCATTGGACAACCTAAGGTGCCTCATCCTGGTGATGATGTAGTCAAGGATTGGGATCTGTGATATCACATGCACATAAAAGGGGTGGAGATTCAATTGCTCAGTTGCAATTGATGCTGTTGACCCCATCCCTACCCCTCCAGTAGATGGTCATGACTGGGATTAGTCTAGCTTCTGCTAACCATTTAGAGCTGCTGCAGATACATCCTCTCTCCATCTGGTTTCTAAACATGGCTATCCATATCCATTTTGAATTAGGCTACAAGAAAGACTTGAGTAGCTGGACAACTTCTTTTTCATTGTAATATCAATCACCCAGGAATTTAATTCTGTTTGGTATTTGTGCTCTCTGTGTGTGTTTGTATGTGTGTGTTTTCTGGAAAGACAATGAAGCAGAAAAAGTATCTGTCCCACACTATGCTGAATTTAATACTCTGTCCTCAAAATGGGAGAACCATGGTGCAATTTTTAAAATATATAGATCTACATAGAAAAGACTTGAATGGCATTTGAACAACAGTTGGAACTTGCAGCTACTGTTGTAGGCGTATATTTTATTCTCCTCAGTTACCAACTGTATGGAAAAAGATATTCTTTACATCTTTTGTCCCTACTTCAGTCATATGATTTTTTAAATATTATACACCATTCCTTCGCTAGTGAAACCCAAGTAACTTACCTGTAAAGACTCTTCTTCTTTAATCAGTTCTTTATGTGGGAACAAATCCTTAGCTTGGATGTATTCTAGACTGGGAGGGCCTTCTTCACCCTAAAAACCAAACAGAAAAACAAATGCTTAGAGATGCACATGGATCATTATCTGCGAAAACATATCAAACATATACTTATTTATGAATTCCATCTTTTTATTCAAGATGTCACATAGTACTCTCTCATAGACTTTTTAATTCTGCATGATACATTGTATTAGAGATAGTGAAACTATTCATCAATAGTTTCCCAGTGAACTTACTTGAATGAGGGTGGATATTAATCAGAATTCTTTGTGTCCAGTCTTCTAGTTACCATATCCACACTACTCTCATATGCACAATCCACATATAATGGTGATAAGATGTATATATAAATTTTCCAAGCACCCAGTATCCAGAATTATAATCTAATACTTTTACTAAACATAATATAGATTTACAATAAACCAGTTTGAAACTAAGGCAAACAAATATAACTATTCCTAATCAACTAGCGATTCCAACAGTGTCCCTTATAATTAACTGGCCAGCGCTAGCTTCACAAACATTCTTAATGTTCAAAAATGACATAGCATAGGAATAGTAGCAGCAGCAGCAACAATAACAATTTGGAGAAACTGAGCTAAATTTCTTTAACTTACAGTGGAACTATTTCTGTATTTCTATTTTACAACAGAAATATTTTATTTCTATTTTATTTGAAACTTTCAGCCTAACCTCTACTTGAGGGTGGGATCTTCTAATACTCCTCAATATTATTTCTCACCTAATCAAGGTCCACTACAATCTTCCAGTGGTATTCTAGTTTTTTTAAAAAAAATATTATAACTTCAACAACCATGCCTTTATGAACACATTTAAATGATGCCATTCCAAGGATCTTTCAGAACTAGATTTATCACAAGAATATTATTGTAATAATCATAATTATAAATTGATCTCTCTGGGATTATATTCAAAATGATCATCTAATCCATTTAACTGTTTCCCATAATAGTGAACCAAATACCTTGGAAAAGTCTACAATAGGCCCTGAAGGTGAAAATTATCACTATTGTTAAAAACAAATCATACTTTGTGAATGTTCCATAAGGTTATAGAAGAGAGTTTGGTGAGACTAAATGGTTATTAAAGTGAGCTAGATTTGTTGTGTGGATAGGTTCCTGACACTTTTTCCAGTCTGGTAGAAATTTATCATCTTGATTTGTGCAAAGTAAGGATTTTTAAAAATGTGAACAATAAAGTTTCCTTAACACTGCTTTTATTTACCCAGGAAAGTCCTCAGGGAGTTTCTTAGGGAGATTGCATTTTTCTGTTTCAAATCAAAAATTTTCAGGGTATGGAAGAAGTTCTTAAGTAAATAAGCTATAAGAGTTTTGCATGATTGGAAAATACTTCAAATTCTCGGAACTAGCCCCAGGATTAGCCTGCATATTTTTACATGATCATGATAGATAAAGACGAAGAATTTCTCTTTTGTTAAATCTGTTTGGAAGAAAAAGTAGATCTTAAAGGATAAACATTCACCACTAAAAAGAATATCTGAGAAATCTAGGCATTACACATATTTGCAAATCACATTATCTAGTTCTAAATTCTATGGATTTTCTTATAATGACTAGTACTTTTTCTTAGAAAAGGCTAAGAGGAAAATGGATTTAATCCTAGGTTCTGTTGATAGGACCAGCACTGAACTTTAAGTGCATATGCACTCCACTGAAGAGACCCAATTTCTGGGGGGGAAAACATGACAAGGAAACATGTCTGCCTAGAAATATTGAGGCACATGGATTATTACTCTGACCTGGTATAAAGTAGTTTTGTATGAGATCTTTCATCCTTATATATGTTTCTGATGTAGATCATGCTAATATAGGTGGTCCAGTAATCTGAAATTATTCTATAATTATTCTATACTATATTCACATAAGTCCCAAAGGTGCTTCTTCAAGAGGCAATCAGACTTTCTTGTTTTTCTCTGAAGACATTTTACTTCTCATCCAAGAAGCTTCTTCAGCTCCATAGACATATATTCATGTATGCTATTCCATTTTTCTTCACCTGATATAAGATTTTCTTTGCCAGGTATAAGCAACTGTTATCACTAAGAGAAGCATTAAATCAGCTTTATTAAAATAACATTAAGTGCACAGACTAAAAAATGATAAAACTTTTGTGGAGTTAGCAGAAAATGTTAGCAGTATAGAAACAAATATTTCCATTTGAAACTGGAAACACTATTATCTGATGTTGATAACTGAATTTATTTATTTATATTAATTTATCACATCTAATAACCAGCCATCTCCCTTACGTAGGGACTCTGGACAGTGTACAATAAAATATTAAAAACATAAAAACAGCATATGAAAGTTAAAAGGAGGAATGTTAAAATTAATTAAAAGGTGGGGGGAGGGCTTCAGAGCACTAAGCAGCCCTAGAGGTATGCGCTCCTCTGTCCACCCCAAGAAAGCATGTGTTTTTACACCTTTTCTGAAGGCCAGGAGAGTAAAATTAATTAGTGATATGGAGTTGCTTCCTATTAATCCAGTAATCGCTTCTGCCCTCATTGATAAAGTATCAGTTCATCTAAATATGTTTTTTTTTTTAAAAAAAACCTCTTGAAGATGATACACCCCTTCCCTTGAAATTCAACATTAAAACAGCCATGTACATCAATCATTCCAAATATTTCACAAAGGGGTTTTTCTTTTGCTCACATTCATATTTCACGGTATCAATAAATTTACATTTTATTAAAAAAATATTAGCCACTTGAAACTGAGGAAAAAAGGTCAGATGATTGAATAAAACAAAAATCAGATGTTTCAATAACATCTAGTTAAAATTTAAGAGAGCGATATGTATTAAATGACTGTTATTTCTAGTCAAAAGTTATTTCTCCTATAAATAACTGTCCAATATATCTTGCATGCTGCTTGTGCAAACATAAGACACACAGTATGTCAGGTTGCAATAAATGTGATTCAAGATGATAGTACCTAACTCATGATAAGAATACTCTTAGCATAATGGAGTTGTATATGTGTGTTTATTAGATCTCAACATCTTGACTGATCGTAATTTTAAAATACAAGTCCCTCATATACAAATGGATAGATGCAAAGGCCAAGTACTTTACTCTTATCATTCCCAATGACATTTTACTATTAGGAGACAGGCAGACAGATAGAAATTGCTAAACTATTCCTAATCTGCAACTTTGTGTTTTCACACACACTTTATCATAGGGGTCCTGGAAATATAAACATTGTACATTGTGGCAAAGCTAATACACAGACACACACATATCTTCATGGATACCTAATGTCACCATTCTCTCATTTATTAATCTACTCAATATTTTCCCCATCAATAACACAGGTTTTCATATCCTAATTAAATTAAACATCAGAGCTCCGTGAAATGGTCCACATTTCCCCATTACATTGCTCAACCCTACTACTTACAGTAAATGAAACTTAACTGACCTTCCATTTAGGCATTGACCAGATCCAAACCTATAAAGCTCCAGACCACACCTCCAGGGAAATCTGAGGGTTCAGATCAGTCTTTTGTACCCATTCACTTTTATTAAGCTGCATATATAGCACTCTATTAATTATCATGCCAATTGGACAGAGTGAATCATACAATTTCTGTCGGGCTTTTAACATTTGCATGCTCTCTGTCACTGAACAAATGTTTCCCTACAGTTGCCCATTTAAACCTCTTCTCAGACACACTAGCAAGGGATAGATTTTATGTATCTTGGGCACAACAGAATATCTTCAAAGCTAGAATCAGGACAACTTTTTACCTATATGACATTGTAAACAGCTAACTAACCTTGAAAACCCCTATGCCTCCCAGCAAACATTCCCATGACTTGTCCAATAGACTCATGTTTTCAGATAAGTTTTATTATTATGCTTCTTCCTCAAGTTTTTTTTCTCAGCAGGTTCAAATCAGAATCCTAGCAGGATGCACTCAGGAGGCCAGAGGTTAGTAGAGCACCATGCTGAGTAACTGTACTGAAAAATGCTGCCAAATGCTGCCCACCTTATGAGGTCAGCTTCAATTGGTATGAAGTGGCTTTTAAGTATGAAGCCAGGTACTTTCCATCTTCCCCTATATCACAAAGGGATTTAATACATGCTAGCAAGCACAGTGGGGAATTCTAATAGGAAGACCTGTGTCTCAGTAAACCTAAGCCATCGCTTTGGCAGCTACGTGGCTGTGATTCAATTAAGCACAAAGCAGCCAGAAAGTGCGAATCACAGGTTCGGTAGGTGAATGTGAACCTCTTCTCAGCAGGCCAACATCAATGTACTGGAGCACACAATATCCTAGATTAGGAAAGCCAAACTTCTCCTTGTATGTTTTGCTCAGACAGTTCTCTTCAATGAGATCACTGGAATAAATCTGGCATCCCCAATTTGGAACCTCTAAGCTCCAGGTGAAGATGAGGTACATATTCTGGGAACTAGGCTATCAACAAGAAGCATGTACAATTAAGATAAGGAAGAAGAATGGGGAAGAGCCACTCCCCAAGCATTAGGGAGAGCTGTAAAAAGGGCCAGATATCTCCAGGAAGACAGTACGTTTTCTTCCTGCTCTGCTGCTCCACCCCCACCCCAAAACATCAAATGCAGAGAGAAATGCAGACTGCCGAACAACCTTGCATGCAGTCAGTGGAGAGAAGAAAAGGGTGGGAAACAGGGAACCTACTTACAAAGCAGTTCAACATGGAACAGGAGACACGGCCCGGCAGAGTCATGGTCGTTTCCAAAGCAGCTTGCTGTGCCTGGGGCATGCGAGTGGCATTTCTTCCCCCTGCCCCCTTTGGCATAAATGGCTCAGGCAGACGGACTGTGAGAAAAGCAAGCTCCTAAGCACGCCTAGAGCATCTCTGCCGCCAGAGACGGGAGCAGGTGCGCTGGCTGCTTCAGCAGCTGCCGACAATGGAGGGGAGGGAAAGGCGGGAGAAGGAGGAGGAAGAGAGACTCCACCTCCCTCTGATGAAACCAAGATGAATCTGCCATGCTAGGGGTTC